CAGAGATATATATACAGAGAGAGGTAGGTGGTACCTCTAGAAGAAGTCCGGAGTGAAATTCTGAGGAGAAGGAGGGATTATGACCTTGTCCCTCGGCAGTGCAAACTGGAGATTGTAACGTCCGTGAACCAAAAAGGGGATTTTTTTGGGCATGTGTGTCGATCCACGGAGTAAAATCAAACCGACGGTTTCGGTTTCTGATTTGCCGGTTTGGAGAGCGGTTAAGGGACACCCTAGGGTTTGTATAAAAGGGCTGGAACAGACGCGTGTTGGTCTCATTTTGGCCGAAAAATCAGAGAAAGAGGAGGATTCGAGAGAGAATCAAGAGAGGTTGTGAGTTGTGTGTGATTGAGGGTGAAGGACAGCTTCTGTTCGAATGTTTGAGAGGGCAAACGGCTGGGCAATTCGAGGAGGATTGGAGTGAAACTTTGAAGGTAAGTTCTCCGATCTCTGGTCTCAATATGGGCGAAATCCGTTCGTCTTTTCGTTGAATATTCGTTGAGTTATGGCTGTTTGAACTCGATAGGGTTGTGCAGACTTGTTGCTGCGATCAGTCAGCTTCGGGAAGGTTTTCCGATCGAACCAGAACGACTTAGGAGACGATCAGCCTATCTGTAGAAATCTCTCTCTGTGTAGTTTCTAATTGAGGTTTCTGATCCTGATTCTGAGGTATTATCCGTTCTCAGTGTGCTTTCAAAGTCAGTGTGTCGTTCATGTCTTCTGAAATCCTAATTCGGTTTAGGTGAMTTTTGGAGGAGACGAACGGCTAGGCAAATCAGGTCGGATCGGGGTGAAACTTTGTGGGTAAGTTCTCCAATCCTTTTTCTTGATGTGGGTGAAAACRGTTCGTCAATGGGTTGAGTATTTAGGGAGTTATGATCGTTTTAACTGGGTAGGTTTCTGCAGTTTTCTGCTGCGATCAATCCACTTAGAGGGAGGATTTCCGTCGAACCAGAAAGATTCTGGAGACGATCCGCATACCGACGTGTAGCCTATTCTGTCTAGTTTTCAGAACCATTTTCCGATTCGGATTTGGATAATCCGTTCGTCGTGTGCGGGGCGTTCTTGTAGGTGTCATGTTCTTCATCTTTTCAATCCTTTCG